AGCCGAAAATGAGGGGTAGCTGAGGTCATTTGAAGTAACTTTTTCCTTTGCAAAAATGCAATCTGCGGCTTTGTTTACGAGTTATTAACGGAAAACACTGATCAATGAGTGGTGACGGCGCGAAGTTCGAGAGCCCGCGGCACGAGGCTTTGACAGATGGTCGGGACGGACTCGAGCCGCGTTCGAAGTATTGAACAAATCACGAAGCGAGAACTTTCCGCATTTTTTTACTACGTAACAGTGACATTTTTAAGAAAAACGCTGTTCACCTTTACTTTTGAACGTTTGAAGAATATTTACTAATTTTTCGGATCCGAAATAGTAATTAATTTAACCGTGACGGTCGTTTTAATTTTCTAGTGTGCATGACACCTTGTGTGTAACATATGAAATTTTTAAGCAAGGTGTATAGTGAAGATTAACAAAGTACGTAAATGATATTTTAATTTAAATAATTCCGTATCCGAACACAGTTCAACGAATGATTCGCAAAGCTAATTTAATAAATAATAATCGTGTTAAAGGACGTAAGGGACATGTTTGTTAGAGAAATGTGAAGAATATTATCAATAAGATACTCACTCAAGGTTATGTCAAGGTTATGTCAAGGTTATGTCAAGATCATATCAAGGTTATGTCAAGGTTATGTGAAGGTCATGTCAAGATCATGTCAAATTAGTATATTATCTTCAGACTTTCTAAAGTAAAGGTGAACAGCGTTTTTCTTAAAAATATCATTGTTACGTAGTAAAAAAAAATCCGGAAGTTCTCGCTTCGTCATTTGTTCACTACATCAAAGCCTCGTGCTGCGGGCTCTCGAACTTCGCGCCGTCACCTCTTATTGGTCAGTGTTTTCCGTTGATAACTCGTAAACAAGGCCGCAGATTACATTTTCGCAAATGAAGAAGTTACTTCAAATGACCTCAGCTACCACTCATTTTCGGCTGTTAAAATAATTGTGGAAAACCCGGTATAAATATAAGCTGTCATGAACATTATTTTGGAAGCATTTAAAACTAAAATAGGAACGACAAAGAATAATTATTGCAACTTTTATTTATCGAATTGCAATGACGGGTTTATATCTTCGACTAACTTCGCGTGTACCGTCGGCCGTCTTCAGTGAATCGAAATTCCGAGCTCTTATTCCTCTAAAATCTTTTAACGCTATAAATTCCAGTTGAATTTTTAAGTATTAAAGCATTTGGGATAATATTTAAAATGTCTGGAACATTTCGGAAATGTATGAAGAATTATGGATTTTTAAAAAGAAGAGTGTTATTAAATTGTCAAAAGACAAATTATTTAGTTTCTATGTCACACTATTCATCACGTTCAAATGAAGAAGAGTTACCAAATCTTTATCGACATTTACATTCGAAAATCGTAGCATGTGGACCTATTACTATTGCTGAGTATATGAGAGAAGTATTAACTCATCCAACTGGAGGTTATTACATGAATAGAGATGTTTTCGGAGAAAAAGGAGATTTTACAACATCTCCAGAAATCACACAGTTATTCGGGGAAGTATGTAAGTTTTATTCAAAGTCCCCAAATAATAGCATATTTCAATTTTATTCATAATTCTTCTAAAAAAGATTTCCATGTACATTTTTCAGATGATTGCAGTTTGGATAGTGTATGAAAAAATGAGAATTGCTAAATGTCCCTTCCAAGTTGTTGAGCTAGGTCCAGGTAGAGGAACTTTAATCAAAGATATATTACGGGTATGTTTTTAACATTAAAAGTAAGTGTATAAAATTTACTGATTTCTTTGTAAAGATATATGTTTATAACACAGGTATTCAAGCAACTGCACATTTTAAACGACATGTCAGTACACTTGGTGGAGATTAGTCCTGCTTTATCATTAATTCAAGCAAATAACTTATGTAAAACAACTAAAGAACATAATATTAAAGCAAGCGAGTCCAAACAGAATATTGTCACTTATTATAGAGAGGGTGTTACAGAAGATAATGTAAATATATATTGGTATTATTCAATTAAGGATATACCTAAAGAGTTTAGTATATTTTTAGCACACGAGTTTTTTGATGCTCTGCCAATACATAAGTTTCAGGTATTTAAAAGATGAAATAGTATTAAAATCATATGAGTATGATTTGTAAATGAAACTTATCCAACTTCAGAGAACTGATAAAGGATGGAACGAAGTTTTAGTAGATATAATTGAAGGATGTAAGGAAGAAAAATTTCGTTATGTATTATCCAATGTACAAACGTCCACTATGCTTTATATCTCTGTAAGTATTTTAAATTTTACTATGATTATATGATGTAAATAATGTTACAAGCAATTAACATCCATTTAAACAAACATTTTGTTATTATTTTTAGAATGACGAAAAACGAGATCATGTAGAAGTCAGCCCACAAACACTTGCTACAGTAAAATATATAGCCCAATACTTATTGGAATGTGGTGGATTTGCTTTAATTTGTGATTATGGACATAATGGCGATAAAACAGATACATTTCGCGCATTTTCTCAACATAAACAACAAGATCCACTCTCACATCCAGGAACTGCAGATTTAACAGCAGATGTGGATTTTTCAATGATAAGCAAGGTTGCAGAAAAAGATGACAAGCTGATAACATTTGGACCAATAACTCAAGCAAGTTTTTTGAAAAATATTGGGATTGATATACGGTTACAAATACTTTTACAAAACACATCAAAAGAAGCTAAAGAACGTTTAGAATCTGAATATCATATGATAATAGACGAAGATAAGATGGGGAATAAATTTAAATTTTTATCTCTATTTCCTTCTGTCTTGAAAGATTATTACCAGAAATTTCCAGTGACGGGATTTTGTGATAAATGAAAAGGATGAAATGTAAGATATAACAGTGAAATGTCTAATTTACAATTTCAATAAAATAAAATAATATTTATTTGCATTAATATTTGTACAGATATCATTATCAAATTCACATTTCAGTTTTAAACACGAATCTGTAATTTAGTACCATGTATTAATATTGCTGAATTACATCAATTCACTATTGTGCAATCAAACTTTTTCCAAGTTTCCAAAAATTTCAGTACTTTTTCTCGTTGTCGATCGAAATTTTCTCCCTTCGGTTTACGCCATACATCATGATGTAAATCTAACATTCCACCAATAATCTCCTGCAATAAAAAGCAAAAAATTGTTTTCTTAGATAACCATATTGTCTTCCTTAGGTGTATTTAATAAAAATATTACCTTTGCAAAAGTTTTTGGAAACATATTTTCATCTTCTATGACATGCGCATATCCCTTGTCGATTTCAAATTCAACCATGAAATAAGATAAACCATTTGGTATGGCTTGTCTTACGTCCTTGCGTTCTAAATTAATAACCTTCTTGTTCATAGACCACTCTGTTTCGCATTCCAGTAATGCTTTCTGTATACAAAATTATGATAAATATTAATAAAGAATAAAGATTAATTTAATTAAATATGTTTTATTATATATTTTTGCTATATCTTGCCTTGAAGTAAATAGGAATTAATTCACCAATTTCTTTTGGTAAGGGTACACATTCTAATTGCATGTGTAGAAATTTTTGACGACTTTTATAAACTTCATAGAACACCGGATACTTATTTTCTTCCGCAAACATGTTATATAAAGCTTGTTTGAATACCTGAAAGTATTATCTTGATATAATCTTTATGCAATCATAAGGATTTCAGAATTATGTGTATTATACCTTTAATCTTCTCCAAATATCTTCATCTAATTGCAATTGACATGCAATATGCTGTACTGGCGTGATTATACAATGTCCTTCAATTAAAGAAGTGTATGTAGGAAGACTTAAACAAATTTCAGAGTCCATTGCAACAATCATATGTTTTAACATGTATTTCGAATCGATACACCAATGACAAGTATCCAAACTTTTTGACAAACGTTTGTCTTCCTTAATGGCAAGCAAACGATCTTTCTCATCTTGTTTCGAATTCGATTGAACTCGCGTAATTTGTTCTTCAAATATTTCATCCATGTTCATGTTCTGTAAATTTATATACTTATTAATATTGTATAGAATAATATTAAAAAGAATGCTTTACTTATCTGCATACCTTAGAAGCAATTTTGCTAAATATCGCATCATCTTCATTCGTGGATCTTCCTTTCTCTCGTTGGAACTAAACCAATTTATTATTTTACTTGTCTATAGCATTAATAAATTTAATTGGTTTATTTATATAAACTACTTACCAATTCTTTCAATGAATATTTATCATCGTCGAAATAATGCAGCACCCTTTTCCCTGCATTGTGAGTTTGTACAGATCTTTGCTTATTATTTCCTAAAGAATCTGTAGACTGACTCCTACGCTCCAGTGGTCTTGTAATACCTGTTGATAAGGATCGCTCATTAACGAATCTTTGCCTCCGAGTAAAAATTCATTGTCTTTTATATATACCTTTAATATCAGTTCTTGTAAGAACTACATTTTGGTCTTTTCCTGACTCGTTCAATTGAATAGAATTTGTTGCAAATTCTCTAGCTTTTTTCAATTGACATTTTAATTCAGCAACGAGTTTCTATAAAAATATAAAAATTTTTATTATTTATCAATACTTTCTGTATATACAAGTATCAAAATTTGGTACAAACGTACAGTATCACCCATTATTTCTGCTTTAACAATTTTTGCCCCTAATTTATTTAGATCTGATTCTGTTACAGTATTCATTTCTTTGTTACTTATGTTATCTACATTGCTGTTGTATTTAACACCAGTGACCTTCGATTCAGAAACTTTTAATGGAGTATCTTCAGTTTTATCTGATGTCTTTACTTTTTGCCACCTTTTTGTAGTTGAATAATGTGTATTGTATGAAGTATTAGCAGAATAATCATCATCTATTGGTCTTTTATAAACCTGCTTACGCTTTTCATGATATACATTAGCCTGTGTACTGTCTTGTTCACTTTGATTTCTAGATTTAGACTTATATTTTTCAGGTCTCTCATAATCACGTTCTTCAAGCTTATATTTTTCATTATATCTTACATTGTCATTTTTTAATTTGTAATTGTTTTTTGATGCCTTTCCTTCTGCTTTCTTTATCATTGATTGAATAACATCTAAAGACTAAATCCGTAATACAAGTTTATTAACACTGTTTCTATAATATCTCGAAAATAAATAATAATCTATACTTACACCCCACCTATGAGCAGCAATTTCTTCTAAAGATTTTCCCTCTCTTTCTGCTTCTTCTTGTGCGCGTCTAAGACTTTTCTTAAGCCAACTTGCATCTATTTCAGTTTGGTCTGTATTTGATTTCATTGAATCTACATTAGGTAAACCATTTCCATCATTCTTCCAATATGGATTTAACTCTTTCTTGCTTTGCCCCAATTTGTCTAAATCACATTTATCTGAATGTTTGTCTAAGTTAACAGATCTTTTATCATTGAAGACGCAAGGAAATATACTGTTCAGATTCATCCAATCCTCTCTTTTACAAGATTTTTCTGTCTTCGTTGATGTAGGTACATTTTGACTCATAGCCTCTGATTGAACTACAGACTTTTCGACCCATTCCTGTTCAATATTACTATCATCCTAAAATTTAATTACCTCTTTCAAACATTACCTTTGTAAAGATTAGGTGCTAGAACATAAATAAACAGTAGTAAATACTCACGTCACTTGAATTTAATGTATCGTGCTTCTTTTGCTTTTTATGTTTCTTCTTATCTTTTTTCCTCGATTTCTTATTTTCATATATAGATTTGCATTTCTCCTTCTTATGTTTCATTTTTTAAATATTCGTTAATACTGTAATCGAAAAATCTATGTGCAATGCAGTCTATATATCCAGAACGATTCTAGCACAAGCACTCCGACACAATTTATAAGCATCCGATTTCTCATTCGTGTTTTGATGAGCATATGATATTAACTTCACTTACATATTGTGTATTGAGAGAAGAGACCACAAGCGCGATAAAGTGAGATGGCCTAGGTTTATCGTCCGTGTAGACACTACATAGAGCTCGCTAGTTTCGTTCTGTTTCTCTCGATCATCTCCTGCTTTCTTTCTAAACTAACTGCGCGGAACTGGATGCGCATTAAAATGGTGGGGATAAAAACGCTCGGAAAGTAGAGTGTAGAGATTGCTCGCGATGAGGCGGCAGTACTGCAATTGATGTACATATGCAAGTAGAGTTCGCTACTAGCGTACAGTGCGTATGTATGTACATATGTGTACATATGACAATGTACATCATAGATCTGATGCTAGAATGCCAGGACCAGGACGCTCAGGGACACTCATGAATCTTATGTACACGCACGTGTATGTATTGTACTTATATTCATACATTGTACATACATTTTCTACAAGGTCGTCAATTGAGAACATATCAGAAAAATAAACTGTATGCATTGTTCGTAGGAATCTTTCCTACTCCCATTAAAATAATTTAAATTTACCGCCATATTATCAATAAGTGGCACGATCTATCACCGACCTATCACAATGAAGCGTCAAATAATTTAAAATTGATTGAAAGGCTACCTAAACATAAACAACATGGCAGATAAGACGGAGGCAATAATACACGTAAAAAATAGAAGCTAATGAATCGATATTTCAACTATGCGCCGTCGCAATATTCTTTTGTGCGATTAGGTGTTTAGCTTTTACGATTACACCGTTAAAAATTTTTACCATTAAAAATATGTCGACTGAGAAGGTAGGTTATGTGTTATCAAACTTCTTTTAGCAAATATTTTTTTTCTTTTTACTTAATTATCGCAGATGACATATGAAACTGTTATTACGAGATTGTTCCTAATATTTACATATTTTAAATCGAAATTGCAATGAGGATAAACTTGCTTAATTTGGAGGATTACACAATTATAAAATTGTTATATGCAGGTTCTGTACCAACTATATCAACCTCATGGATCTGGTACAGTGTTTATCTCTTGGCGACCAGGCAATAGTACCCATTTAGCAACCACGGGCTATGATTCCTCAGTTGCAATTTTCGATAGACAAGGTGATCTGCAAGAGCGCATTCACATTTCTGGTTTGTGTAATGGATTTGGATGGGATTCTGATGGAGATCTATTGGCTGTTATATCACAAAATTCTTCTGCTATTGTATTATGGGATGCTACAACTGGAAAAAAATGTCAAATAGACGCTGGTGTAAGGGACAGCTTGACATGTATAATGTGGGCAAAGAGGACTTGCTTATTAGCTGTAGGGACACAGAAAGGAAATTTAGTTCTTTATGACCATATAAATGCCAAGTATGAACACTTTCCTTATGATTAGAACATTGCTACACATTCTTTGAGCAGTGAATACAGTAATTTATTAATTCCTAGACGGACACCGATTCTAGGAAAACATAAAAAACGTATAACATGTGGTGCTTGGTCTTATGAAGGACTTCTGGCTCTTGCCAGTGAAGACAAAGCTTTAACTATTAGTACAAGCGATGGAGATACACGTCGTGAAATCCCTCTCCAGGGTGATCCATCAGACATTCAGTTCAATGAAATGAAGATGGATCACAGAATCGGGGGTGAAAATACAGTATGATTCTTTTTTAAATTAGTATATAAAATCTATCTATACATATACAAGATATTAATTTCCTATTATCCATTAGATATCCCTTGTTATTAACAAAACCACTTTATTCTTGTACAATATTTTGGATCCAGAAAACCCCATTGAACTAGCTTTTCAGAAACGCTATGGTTCTATTGTTACATATAAATGGTAAGGTAACACATAATAGATTAAAATAAATTACACTAAATTCTTCTTAAAAGCAGTTTTTTTAGGTATGGAGATGGTTATATCTTAGTAGGTTTCGAAACTGGATATTTTACAGCAATTTCCACGCATATAAAAGAAGTAGGACAAGAGCTATTTCAAGTTAAAAATCACAAAGATTCGTTAACCGATTTGGCTATAAGTCAAACAATAGGAAAGATCGCAACGTGCGGTAGTAACATCATAAAGATACATAATTTACAGAATTTAGAAGAAACTGAAAAATTAATAACCGTCAGCAACGAAACAGGAATTAGTAAAATTGAATGGTCCATGGATGGATCCATGATAGCAACTGTGACTTACTCCGGAAATGTGTTAGTCTATTTAATACAAATTCCAAAACTGTTTAGCGTTTGCGGTAATAAAATTGCATTGCTTACTAGTTTGACTGAAGTAGCTGTACATCTCTATACCTTAGACAAGGTACATAACACTCATCTATTCATTGAAAAATCTAAATTACTAGAGTATGAGCAATATATGTATATGTGTGTGTGTATATGTATATATATATATATATATATATATAATATTATTATAATATAAAATCATTATAATTATTTCGTCCGTAAAAACAATTGTAAATGCACTTCAGATATTTCTATGCAATCTTTCGGATATTATTCACAAAGGTGAGTTTGTTTTCCTAATTTATTTTTAATTCAAAGTTCCTCCAATAACGAAAGAAGATTTTTTTTTTAAAAAGATGTGCTTGAAGCTTCGCAGATATTTCACCACACACTAGATCAATAGAATCTTAGCCTGTCTTGGTTCTTCGGAAACGAGACCTGGGTATCTCGAAACTGCCTTCGTTATTTTTAATAATTCAAGCGTGCTACTACCACATAAGCTAAGAAACATCATTGAACTTGTCATTACGCTCGTACAAAAGAATTCTTTCATCTGCCGCGGCACACGCGCGCGTATCCGTGTTTCACAGCTACCAGCATAGGGAAATATTTTGAAAATGCCGGCTTTGTTGTATTTCGCGAATTACTGTTACTATCGTGTTACGGGGTTTAGTCAAACATTTTCCGGAAGAAATACGATATTACATTTCGAACTGCGCCGGCACATTTGATAACTTCGCCATAGAGATATTTTTCAAACTGTACCGAATCAAAATTATAGAGTCAGTATCACTTTTGGCGAAAAAATTATTTCTACCGATTCGCAAATACCTTAAAGTACATTTTAGTGTACTGAATCGAAATAATATCGCGTGAAATTATATTTCATTTATTTTTTCGTTTTCTATTTATTTAAATCAGCAGTTTATACTTTATTCGCTCTTGCAATGCAAACAAAAAGATTTAACTACGCGTGCTCGGAAATCGAAAATTGATTTGAAATCATTTTGACAGATTTCCATAAAAAAAAAAGGAAATTGTACCTAGCCGAGATCTGAAATTGTTTTCGATGGTTTTATTTGATAAATCGAGACTGCTATGAAATGCATTTTAAACCGAATCACATATGCTTCGAATCTGCAATTACTTTTACATTGTTCTGATAACAACGACGATATCCTCGACCTAAATAATGCCAAGCAAAATTCCCCGTTTATTTATCCCTTCCTTCAGAGTTCACATTTTTCGAGATATGTATTGGCAATATAAAGCGGCAGCGAACGAAGGGTCTCCTAAAAGATAATGAGGCGGCAACCCGAGAGTCATGTTAACGTGGCAGATTCGCCTTATCGAGCGAAATAACTCCTACACAATTTATCGTTCTACCCATTTATTATGTCTTCTTCGGTAGGTCGAGGTGGGCCGAAGTAAATTCACCATAGGGAAAGCATTTGCCACGCCGCGCGGAGGAGAATGTACGGGAAAATGAAGAAGTACGTGCTCGACGTAAAGATTTCCACCGGATAAAGCTGACGTTGTTCTTTCAACCGATACTTCCTTCTTTCGTACACAATATTTTGGTGTATTAAATCATTTGTTTCGGCTCTCGATTTCGCACTGCATAAAGCTGATGCTATTTCTTCACGCTATTCCATACTTTTCTGCGTCAATGGCAAGAAATCGAGACCAAATAGAACATTCTCTCTTTCTTCTATAATTTGCTGTTTTCAATTTTACCTGCTCAATTGTCCTATCGAAGCATAAAATCCGCAGTCCACATACGACGAATCGTAATTAAATGTTAGCTAATGTAATCAAATTAAACGACATTTGTTTGTTCGTTAAAAATTCTTCCGATGTATGGCATGGCAATAATTGGCTACGGATCTTCGTTCAGATTTGAATTGGTTATGCACTTCGAAAGAAAATGTTTACAGTGTGAACAATGACGTTAATTGACTAGGGAATTGTAAATTAAATGCAATCTAGGAACAGAAACAAAGCCTGCATATCTCTGAATTTTATTTTGTTACGTTTCCGCAGCAAAATTTGTTAAATCCGCACAAATATTTCCTCTTTAATTATATTCCTTTCTTCGCTATTCTATTATATTTTCATCGAGAGCAAACATTCGTCGTCGTTTCTACGAAATACCATCAAAATACAATCACGTTATTGCCATTTATATGAAATATTCGCCGAATATTTGTTCGCAAATGAATGCGTAATTAGAGCAAAATTATAGTACCAATTAATTATAGGCAGTAATGTGAGAGGTAATTCAAGAAACGAAATTATTTCGCGAGGAATATGTAATTTAATTACATGAGAACGATAATGTTTTATACATGATCAAAAAGCATACCGAGAAGCCTATTCATTTATTTGTATTTCAAACAGAAACGTGAACCTTAATCGCTCAGTATCGATATATCTGACGCGCAAGAGCGCGCATCAATTTTAATTAGATCGACAGAGTGTTCGTGTTCTGATTTACTTCTTACGGATGGAAACGCACCGGAGTCGCTCTTACAATTTATGTAACAGAATAATAGAACGTAAGAAATGCTCCACACACGTGAACAAGATGTTGAAACATTCGCCGACACGAGACGTGACACATTTTGAAATACGGAGAGCGCCGCGCGATGGGTGTCGTGCCACACGAGTCGAGCAACGCTTTATCTCGCTTTCCGCTGTTCGGTTTCTTTCTTCGTCCTCCTTTCTGCTCGCACTAATAAGCTCGATCAGAGTCGAGAAAAAAGGTACAAGGGATGAGGGTATCGCATACTATCCAGATTAACATACACGGCCGGCCGAGTTTGTAATGCAATGCGACGGTTGTAACATTCATCCACCGTGTATGAATTTTCAGCTTCTACCGTATTATGTATGCGAAAGCAACCTTGTTGCCATCGATTTGTTTTTTCACGCTAAACGAAAATTGTTCCATTGAGAATTGCTAATTGAACGATGTGGGACATTGTTTGATCGTGCTACATTAATTGCATTTTAGTCCTTTCGTACAAAATTATATAAATATATTATATATATTATATATATATATTATAATATATTATACATATATTATATATATATTATAATATATTATACATATATTATATTATATATATTATAATATATTATATTATATTATATATATTATAATATAATATATTATAATATAATAACCTTGTTGCCATCGATTTGTTTTTTCACGCTAAACGAAAATTGTTCCATTGAGAATTGCTAATTGAACGATGTGGGACATTGTTTGATCGTGCTACATTAATTGCATTTTAGTCCTTTCGTACAAAATTATATAAATATATTATATATATTATATATATAT